CTTATTATGATAGATAAAATTATGGATTATTTAGCAATGCTGTTAAGAATAGTGAAAAGCTTGTATACAAATTTTTCCAAAATTTTCAAACTTACACGCAAGTATTTGGCAATACCTGCAATTTTTGTATCTAGTGAATGTTTGTTTTCAGATGCTGGCAATCTAATCAATACATAAAAGACGCGTTTAATATTAATTTGGTTGAAAAAATGTTTTTTTTAAAGCAGAATATGAATATTATAAATATTTTTACATCAAATTAGAATGATTTAGAAAAAGAATCGAAAGAATTAATTAAAATAGAATAGTAATATAAATTGTAAAGGTGGCAGTAATTTTTATAATAAAGTAAATAAAATAAACTTGTGTAAATTAAAAATTATTAATTTATAATATTTGTATTATATGTTGTGTATATATTTAATCTGGATTAAAATTCAAATGTATCTTATTTTTAATTCAGATTAGAATTTTTTTGGATTGTGTTAGATCTGAATTATAACTCAGATGTACTAAAAGAGATCTGAATTTTATCCTAATATTTTTAAAAATTAGATCGAAACCTTATATTTAACATCTTAAAAACTTTGTAAATATCTTAAAAAAAAATTTATACAAACTATTAATTACAAAAGCAGTCTATTTAAAAGGCTATTCAAACTCCTAAGTTTGAACTACAAATAGATCTCTAGAGTAAATATGAATAATAAGATATTCATATTATTAGCAAAGAAGTAGCGTTAACCTAAATGCTTGAAAGCTTAATAACTATTTTAGAACTTAGAAATAAGGTTATTAAAAAGATGAAAAAAACTTGATTTAGGTGATAAAGATAAATCAAAAAATTTACATGAATGTAGACTTCTTTATCATAATCTTTAAAAATTAGATCTGAAAATAATTAAGTTTCTAATAAGAGAAGAACTGGAAAAATATAAAAAATTAGAAAATAATTTAAAAACTAATCCAGAATTTTAATAAAGAATTTAAATATTTAGAAGAAATTAAAAAGAGGTAAAAAGGATTAGAGAAGAATTTAAAATTTAGAAAGCAAAAATTAGATTTAGTAGTTAAAAAAGAGTTATAGTAATATATAATGCAAAAGTATTTAAATCTCATTTAGATAATAGTAATAATATAAAAAAATTTTAGAAAGCTGAAGAAAGTAATTTAAAAAATTACTTAAAAATAAATTTAACAAATATAGGCAATTTAAGTTTTTTTTATACTTACTATATAAATTTTGGGTTTATTATAAAATCCCAACAAACATAATCCTGACAGATTATAATCCTAATACACATAAATCCAAAAAATATAAAATACCGATAGATTAGTATCTTAAAAATCCATTTTCTTACATGGTTTGAGATCCCAAAAGTTAAAATTCTGAAAGATCATGATCCTAAAGATCTTATATCCAAAATGATTTAAAATATTAAAAGTTTTATATCATGATTTATTGTTATGCATTTAGAATTTTAATAAGTAAAGTTTATTTTGTAGTATAATAATAATTATGTATTGTGAAGGGTAAAAATTAATAATAATATTATAATAATATAAACAAATTATAAATTGCTTTATTAGTTTTTTTTTTAATAAAATATTAGCTCAAACATTCATATTTATACCATTATTTTCACTTTTTATCATAACCACATATACTAACACATATAACTAATTATATAAAATGGTTATGAGTGATCCCATAATTTCATTAATGAATGATTACATAAGTTGTTAATAATTAATATAATCCTATTTTTTCTTTTATTCAAACCTCTCTTTTGCTTCAATTATTATTCTCCATGAAGAATGCATTTAATTTGAAGCTCAACTTATTATTATTCTTTTTGTATCTCATTAATAATAGTAAAAAGTTCTACATGTGATCTGCTAAGCAGAGTTTTCTAATAACAGTGTTATGTCTTGACAATATTTTGAGTTCTTAAAATTTCAAATTCAATAGAATTATATATTAATTATAATTGTAGTGAAAAAAAAGATGCAAAATAAACCACATGATCATTTTGCATTTCTCATTAAACCTTTTCATAAACGTAGTTATCTTCAAATTACTACACTAGATTATTTATTTGCTTCTAAAGGCATTTTTTGTTTTAAAATATTAAATACTGCATATTAGGGTAAAAGGCCAATACAAATAAATGCCATATTATAATACTAAAATGCTTATCATTTTCATATTAAACTGCTAGTCCACAATTTTATATTTGCTATTACTTATTTTGATTAAATATCCATTATTATTAGTATTAGGAAATTTACAACGTGATACTACTAATTCAAAATTAGTAATAATATTTGATGGCTTTAATTAAACATTATTTTTTTCAGCAAACTCAATTAAAATCATTTATATTGCTTCTCAGATTTACAAGTTATTAAAACATACACTAGTAAAAGAATTTTAAAATTATCTTCAATATCAATAGCTGTATGAATTATATTAAAAAATCTGCAAAATTTAAAAAAAATAAAACTATATCAAAGTTTATAAAAATAGTGAAACTATATATCAAACACTTAAAAAATTAGCGAAACTAAAGGTTTAAATATTTAATCAAATCCAAAATGAGTTTAGATAAGCAACCTTACTTATAAAATAACTATAATCAAATCTTGATATATTAAACTCTTAATATAGTGAATTTTTAATATTTAACAATCAAATATACTAAATATATCTTATTTTAGTAAATTAATCAATTAATTTCTTTAAAAAATTTGTTATAATTTTATAATGAAATTGAGATTTAGATTCTAAGATTCATTATATTAAGAGTTGATTATTCTATTTAATTAAAATAATTAAATAAATCTAAAAAGTTAAAGATTATTAAGATTAAATTAGTCATTTTTAAAATAATTATAATTGAATTTGAAAATCTGAACCTTTATCTTTTTTTAAGTAGGATTTATTAAATTATAATACAATTAGTAAATAATTTTAGTAATAAATTATAGAATTTTTAGATAGATACTGACTTTTTTTTTTTCTTCTTTTGGTGATAATAGTATTATTACTTTTGAATCTATTAGAAAAAAAAGTTGATGATATATTATCTTAAATAAGTTTATAATATAATTATAAATAATAGTTAGTACATTCAAACCTTGATATAGCGAACTCTTGATATAGCGAATTTTTAAATCAAATATATTAAAATTACCTTACTATAGTGAACTAGCCAATTAAATTTTTTAAAAAATTCGTTATAAGCTTATAACGAAGTTGATATTCAGATCCTAGAATTTGTTATATCAAGAGTTCACTGTACTTATATAAAAATATCAGATAATAATAACTGTAATCTTATTATAGGTTATACTACATTAAACTTTTAATTAAAGTAGATCATAATATTAATTTATTATAAAATTTACCAGTTTAATTCTGAAACTTTATAAGATGTATACAGTATATTCTATGTATATTAAAGATTACAAACTTGTAGAATATGTGATTATTTGATGATATCTATATGATTGATGGTAGTTTTTATAGTATAGTTATATAAGGCTTCATCTTCATATTATTTTGATTACAGATAATAGTGGTAAGTAACTTAATGTATGGTAAATTAATTAAGTTTAAAATATTTAAAATATCTATATTAAGGGGCTAGTTTTTAATGGACAAGTGTCATACCATCCATACCATCTATAAGAAATATATAGATTATTTGCTATTAAGATTAAGATACAAAACATAGTAAATTATATGATCTGTAATTCAATTTTATTAGTATAATTAATAGTAAAAATTGTATAATGATGGCTATCCTATTCAAAAAAATAAATTACAGGTAGTTAATATTACATAGTTTTCTTTTATCATGATATTTAGATCATACTAGTATTAGAGATTGGGTTTGATTTCCTTGATATTTATTAGTATGATAAGCTTATTTATGTTTAATGGATCTTAGAATTAGAATTTGCTTGATCTCTTTATCTCTCTCTCTCTCTCTCTTAGTAGTGGTAGCTGAATAACTAATAATGCTAAGAAAACAAAAAATAATCTTGTCAAGTGGCAAACACATTGTTAGACTAATAATTTGTCAACCCAAACAGGTTTGAAATAGAGTAACAGTGAGTATGTTACATGAAATCCTTCTGTTAAATACTAGCCAAATGATTGTATGTGAACCAGATATCACATTCAGAAATCTAAAGTATTAAATGTAAAAGGTCATTTCATATGATCTTGGAATAGTTGATACCTAATTATTGGAGTTATGTTTGCTCTGGCTGAAATGAACTAAGATGAGCTAGCCTCAAGTAAATGTTGGGTTATATAAATCTCATAAATCTACCTAATGGCTCAATTCTTTACAAAAAAATTAGTCTCAAAAGTTTGTCATAATCCTCAAAATTATGTAATAAATTTCAAGACTCGTGTAATATATTTTCATAAATGATATTTAATCACCAATAAATTTGTCAGTTTTGGAGAATATTTTTATTTTACTGATATATATTTTACTTTCTAATGATAATGTATTAATGGAATATTTAAAAATAATTAAATTTATGTGGGAAATCCAGAATTCTTAATTCTGAAATATCCCAACTTAGCGGTCCCATGAAATTGTCGATCTCAAAGTTCATAAATTTATTATACCAAATTTTTTTTTAACAAGACTAACTTATAAATAAGCGATTATACTTTTCTATAACTAGAAATTTCAAAATTTGTTCGTAATCACGGGTTAAAAAATCTAAAAACAAAAAAAAAAAAATGTCAAAGATAAAAATAATTTAAATTTAGGCTACATGATACCCAAATTATATTAAAGAATTGAAAAATATAAAAGTCCATAAAAGAAATTGCATAATGACAATTACTTTTGATATTATACCACACATTAATAAAAGTAAAGATACTTGAAAAGAAAAATGATACATAATAATTTAACGCAATATTTGCCTTTTTACCAAAAGTAATGATTTTTCTAAACTGGAGTAACAATTTACGTCTGAATTTTTTCAACTTCAGTTTTAGCTTCTTCCCAACTGGTCAAATTCTAAAATTTTAAAGATTAATATAATTTGAAAATAATAATTGATTCGAAATACATGTGAAACTGCATAATATGCACGAACCTTTTGACACCATTCTACATGTGTCTTGGCATAATTTATAAGCATATTTTTTAAATCTCGAATTTTTTGACGCTGAAAACGGTCTAAATCACTCTGAATAGAAACCGAAATATTTTTTAAATCTTCTGTAGTTGTTACTAGAGCTTCTTCGAGCTAGGATAATGCAGAATACAATAAGATCACGTAAAAGTAATCAACCTAAAGGTAATACAAATCATTTGACTTATTTCAAACCTGGATTATAGAATCTCTAGTTTTTCCAATGCTATTTCTTCGAGTAGCTTCTGGATCAACGTCTATAATTCCATGAATTGTATGACTAAGTACAGAAAAAAGCTTTGAACCGCTACGTCTTTTTTGATGAGATTTAGGTTCTTCGGGAAGAGACAATAAATCCCCATTCTGCGATTGTTCCTCAGCTTGGTCATTTTCTCCAATAAGATTTTCGTTATTTTCTCCATCAGGGTTAGGTTGTGTGTTTGGAACGGAATTATCTCGAATACCTCTCTCTTTAGTTAAAGCTTCTTCTAATCTTTTCGCTTCTTGTTCTGAATTTTCTAAAGTTTCCAAATTCAATCTTTGTTTTTCTAATGTTTCAGCAGTAAGCTCCATTTGCAAATGTTTTAAGTGTCTATATTTTAGAACCTGTTTAATAACCTGAGAAAATTGCGAATATTCTTGTAATGGTTCGGAAAATTCAGCTTCAAGTAAGGAAATCTTATAAAGTTTAAAAAAAAGAGAAAATTCGAGAAGGATATTAAGATAATTTATCTTATATCTAATATTAATAGGAATATTGCTTAAGATTAATATTACCAATGTTCCTGTAGCCATATAAGAAGAATCAACAGCCTGACCCACTTTTTCAATTGCATTAGATAATTCACCGTGTTCATTTAAACTGAACCCGTTATAAATTGCACCTAGTTCAGCGTAATCAGTTGATAGATCTGTATTTTATATATATATAAAGGTATTTCATATTTCAGATAATATGAACTTTACTGCCCACTTGGACCTTATTATACACAGTACATAAAAATAAAGAGTACCGTTCAAGCGTTTCCAAGTTCTCTTATTTGTCTTTTCCAAATTTTGACTTATATGATATGCAAATTTGTTAGTAAAGGCTTCGGATTCTACAAATTGTGGATCAGGATTCTTCAAGTGTTGAGATGCACTTGGATTAGGAAGAACAGCCTGCTGAGCTGTGCTACTAGTAGGTGATGAAGATGAAAGGTTAGCGGGAGATGCCTGAAGAATGTTTTTAGGCAGATTGGAGAGCGGGGGAGAATGTAACACCTCATTCTAAATGGTTATATCGAATATTAAAGTAAGGTTACAGTGAAATAGAAAATTTGTATTAAATAACAAAATTTATGAATAAAATTATACCCAGGAAACTCCAGTTTCCAAAAATTTGTGAAAAACATGTTCGTCTGAAAGCTGTGGATGGCTGGATACACGATTTAAGAAACTCTGTAACATTCTTTTACGTTTTTCGATCATCGCGATGTCTTCTTTGGCCTTGTTTTGCAAAGTCGCGTAATCAGCTAATCAATGCACATTTTACAAGTCAAAATCAATTGACACAATTGAAAAAGAAGCATCTCGCTTCCTTTCCATTAAGAATAGCAAAGAATTTATGATAGATCACCAATTGAATGTTTCTCCGGAATTGGCGGAACTATCAAAGTAGGATATAATCTCATTAAACCCTTCCTTAAGGATTCGAACTCTGAATACCGCCGATTAACCTCTTTTTCCTATAATCCCCAAAAAGGTATGGTAATAAATTGGATATAATTTTTGTGTAGAACAAGTACTATGGCCACATACCCCCACATTTACTGTGTATGTAATGTATGAGCTTCCACTACTGTCGGTTGTCTTCTGCGCATCAGTAATCAAAATGACGGTGTCCTCGGAGTGAATATCTCTATCAACTTGACAACAGAAGTGAGTTTTAACTCCTGGAGTATACTGATAATTTATCGCCACTACTGGCCTAGCCGGTGCTTCAAAAACTTGTTCTATCTCTTCTTCAGAGTCACTAACCGTGACGCCTGCAAAAGGGTCAATATCTTCGATTTCAGACATTTTTTATTACGAACCGAAGTCTACTGATTAAAGACAGACAAAAAGTCAACTACTAGAAATTTTTGGAACCCCGAATTTTAGTGTAACATTTATTTTAAGAAAAAGGTCACGAAAATGATGTAACAAAATTCCCAGGCAAATATGATTGGGCCAAAAGTCATATCAAAAAAATCTGTAGATAATCATTTGATTAAATACTTTTTTTCTTCGTTCATTTTGCAAGACACTGCTATTTAAAATGTTTACCTTACGTAACTTTGGCACGCGATCTTTGAAAACACGTATTATTCGCAATACCGCAACCATAAAGCTACCACAAAAGGCATTATTTAATAACTATAGCCGTCATAGATACGATGAAATAGCTAGAGTAGCTGTAAGTTTAACGTGACGTTTAGTAAAGAGAATTTATATGTATTAACATAAAAAGTATATTCGATAATGAATAGAAGCCAGCACCTTTATGGGAAGCCTCTGCAGTCGTTGATGGGGTTATTAAACCACTTTCACTTAAAGACTACATTTCTAAATTTTTGGTTATGATTTTTTATCCTATGGATTGGACTTTTGGTAAGGAAGGTGATATCGTTAACTCATTTTTCTTTATCATATTCGTTAATTTAATTTATCATTTATAGTGTGTCCAACTGAAATGGTTGCTTTCTCGTAAGTATAAAGATATTTTTAGGAAATAATTGAGTTAACTATTGACACGTAACTTCAATTCGACAAGGGATAATATCCAAAAATTTAAAGACATAAATACTGAAGTAGTTGGTATCTCTTGTGATTCACCTCATTCTCATATCGCGTGGGAGTAAGTGATTTATAATAATTATTTATAACAATCAAATTAAAAATTTGATAATTATTATTTAACAAAAAGTATATATATTAATATTAATAATTAAATAGTAAAACGCCAAAAAATCAAGGTGGACTTGGTGGTATCAAGTGAGTAGGATTCATATGAGCGCGTGATTTTCTTATTATAAATACAAGTCTTAAATAAATTTCTTTATTTAAAGGATTCCTTTAAGTAAGTATTATAAGAGTGTTTGAATTAATTTACAGGAATTGTAAAGTATATAATATATTTTGTGATAGTTGCCGATCAAACGAAGCGGATTACAAGAAGATATGGATGCTTGTATGAAGAAAATGGATTTCCTTTCAGGTGATTCTAAATGTGTATTAATTTTATCATTTGGGCGGACGTGCTTAAATATAAATAAATACATATTTTTTTTTTTAACAAAATTAAAAAATTGCAGGGGTACTTTCATTATTGATGACAAGGTACGTAAACTTGATATTTGAATTTATCAACAATTGTTAATAATGATCTCTTTTTTTTCAGGGTATTCTTCGTGTTGCGCATGTTAACGATACTCAGATCGGTAATTAAAAGAATATAAATTTTTGCAAAATTTACACCATCTTAATTGATTATTAAACATGTAGGTCGATCTGTTAATGAAACGCTTCGTCTTGTTGAAGCCATTCAGTTCGCAAACAAACACGGTGAAGTTTGTCCAGGTATAAACATGCATATACATTACATTTTATAATTCAAAATTCATGATTTACAATATTTTTTCTTGTTATAGTGAACTGGAAAAGTGGAGATCGCACGATAGTTCCAGACCCAAAGTTATCCAAGGATTATTTTTCTCAAATTTAAGATCCTAGATTTAAATTTTCATGTATTACTACTATTTATTGATGGGATTCCTTTCCTGGAAGAACTAATTTAATGATTTAATTGTCACGTATTATTATTTTCTATATGTTATGAATTATAAATAGGAATTGCCTTATTTTTTTTATAAAAAGTTCTCTCACGATTTTAAGGTTTGATTGATATTCAATTGTCTTGATCTCCATTGTTCTATAATTTGACAGAGTTTTTTCAGTTCAGTATTTTCAGGAATAAATTTCGCCTTTATCATATTATCATAGATCTGAGAAGCGCCCAACATATTTTTAGACGTAATGTAACCATTGATTAAAGCTTTATAAGTATTATCGGATGGGTTCAACCTTAAATTGATCATTTCCTCATAATATTTTATTGCTTTATCCATATTAATAGCTCTAGAATAACCTCCAATAAATAAATTAAAAGTTGCGGTCGTGGGAAAACAATTATTTTGTATTAAATCCGAATACAATTGTTCAGCCAATGAAAATTTTCCATGATTAATATAAGCTTGTATCATATTAGAATAAATTTGAATGTTTGGAAACAATCCTCGCTTATAAATCATTTCTTTAAAAGCCATTTCGGCACCAGCCAAGTCATTAAAATAATTTACTAATCCATTTATAAGAGTACCATAAGTTTTTAGATTTGGTTGAATCTTCATGGAATCAAACATGTTTAAAACATTTTGTACCCCTTTAACATTCCGATTTTGAAATTGCCTCTTTAAAAGAGTTGTTAGTGTTGTAACATCAGGTGTAATATTAAATTGTTGCATGTCTTGTAATACATTCATCGCGAATTGTTCTTTCTTCTTATCAAGTAATTTATTAATTAAAGTATTATAAGTGACTATATTAGGGGTAATCTTTTGATTTTTCATTTGATTATAAATAATAATCGCTTCATCCACTCGATTATTAGATAATAATCCATCAATCACCCGATTATAAATGATTTCATTTAATTTAATTTTTGGATCTAAAGACATTTGTTGAAACATTTCAATGGCTTTAAGACTCTCTCCAGTTCTAAAATAAGTTTCCATCATAGCACAATAAGCGAATTCATCAGGTTTAATTTTGTCATCCAACATTTGTTGCCAAATTTCATGAATTTTTCTAACATTACGTCTCCTTGAAAATCCGTCAAGCATTTCATTATATATAACTTGTGTAGGCTTTTGTCCTCTTTTGATCATGTCATTAAAAATAAATTCGGCTTCATTGTATTTATCATGTGATAAGAATCCCATTATGAATGCTCCATATGTAATTGAATTCAATTTCACTTCGAGATCACAAAGCTTTTGATAAAGGTTTAATGCTGAATTTGTTGTGGTTAAGGTTTTATTAAAGAATAAACGTTTTATATAATTCGTGAATTCTTCGGAATTTGGAGAAAGTTTTTGAATATAATGACAACGTAAGATTTCTTGAATTTTGTTATATTCTAGTTCATTCGACAGTGATTGAATAAAATTTGTAAAAGTCGGGAGAGAAAATTCCGGTGATGAGGAAATTTCGGAAATGAAGAAACTTAAAGCTGATCTTTCATCATTTAATTTAATATATGCACAAAATATCACAAGCTTAGATTCATAGGAAAGTTTGAAATTTTCCTTTTGTAGAAAACCTTCGTATATGGAAAGTACTTGTTGTGGACTTGATTTCTCTAAATAATACTTTAAAGAATATTGATTATAGTCTTCGATAAGTTTTATTAATTCTTGCATATTCCCGCTGGGAACAAGAATGGTTTTCAAATATTCTTTTAAGAACCTATCCGATGCATGATATAATTCATGATTTGAATCTAAATGATGCCTTAAAGATTCACTAAATTCCAATGTATCATGAATCGTCGTAGCGTAATTATTTACAGATAAAAGTGTTTTCGCACCTTCAACATCCCCTTTCCTCAATGCTTTCACAAATGTGTCCAAACATTCTCTATTAATACTAAGAAGAGGAAGTTCAGCCATTTTGGTACTTGAACGAAATTCTTTTTTAGGTGATAATTCAAAATTCCTAGATATTATGGTTGATAAAAAGTATATGCAGAATAAATCGAGATTTGGACAAATTGGTTTACCTTT